AAAAACACAATTACTTTTTGGGCAACCCAACCCAATAGAAATTTGAAATTGATGCAGTTCAAAAAGTAGCAAAAGCTACAGAAAGTGCATGAGTGGGGTGGTCTGATCAGGCCATCCACAGCTGTGTTAAGGTCTGAATGTCGTTCCTTGCAAGAGCATTCAATGCCTGGCAGGCAGCAGGTGCAATTGTTAGAAAAACGCAGTATATCTTTTTGTGTCTTTATTCTCCATAACTCTATTTGTCAGTCTTTCTAGTGCGTTACCCTTCACTCCACAGGTTTTGGGGTGGCGTTATTTGCTAAGTTAATAAGAATCAGGATGATATAAGACATGGTCCAATAGTTATATGTGGAGGAGTCCTTGATCATCTGTCTGGATGGGATGCACGTAGCTTGATTCTGAAGTCTGCCTTTGAAGACACTGGAGGGGAAAAAAGAATATGTTAGAGAGATCCTTTTCATCTCCAGGTAGACCTGCCAAACTGCTGCTTGTCAGCTGCTTTTTAGACCTCCCTGTTTTTCACTTGGGTACAAATTTACTATAGCTATGGCTTGGAGAGATTCCACCTTATGCCTTGTAACCCAGAGTGTCGAATGCAAACCGTAATGATGCAGTGAATATAGGTGATATTTTCTATACGTGGAAATTAGAGACTGTTTCAGTGCTGGTAATTTCCTGAACACCAGCCCACAAGAAGAGTGAGTGTTAATGTGCACGCCTTTCTTTTACTGAGGATTAAGTACTTGGGGTTAAAAAAAGATGGCATCAGTGTTACCGGCAACTGTTAGTTCTGTTTGTATATATTATACATGCTAAGGATTAAAAATACAGTTAACATAGTTTTCACTAATGCAACATGCATCAGCTTTTTGTCAAAATACAGTGAAGTTACAAAAATAAATGGAATGCATGACTAAGTAGATGTCAGTTAAACCTAAATGTGCGCAACTTAGATATCCTTAGTATGCTCAAGGCACTGAAATTATTCTTCTGCGTGCAACTGCAAACATAGAATTTGTAGTATATTTTAATACCAATGTGATAGCATTATAGTTTCTGCAGCTTCTCTGTTCAATTTGTCAGCGTTAGTTTGCCTCATTCAGACAGAGGCTTGTGTAAACATTGCACGTACTGCTTCAAGAGACTTGCTGTGTGCAGGAATTCAGTCATATTTCATTACTTTATTGATCAAAATAACTCTCTACTGTGTGATATTCCTGTTAACCATGTAGAGACAAGATAGCAAAGAACGTGTGGGCTGTGTTCTTTCTTGCTCATCATTTGAATTGCTTTCTGAATTAAACATATGCAAACTTATTCAGGGAGGGGAGCAGCGTGAAAAGTCTCATTTGCCATATTAGGTTGCTAGGGAAGGAAATAATGCTGCCAGTAATTTGAATTCTTGAACTTCAGGTTGGGTTTGCTGTACTAGCAGTTGTACCAAAGAAAGAGAAAAGATACTTATTTTAAAGGGCGTTGGTATAATTCAGTGCAAGCTGTCTGTGAATAAATTTTGTCTGTAATCCATCTTAGAATGAAAAGGAATTTCGGAGAGACACATCTATTACACCCTCAGCAGCAGCTACTTGAGCATGTTGGCTTTCATTCTTTGGAAGAAGCCATGCAAGTTGTCCGCGAGCACCATTTTAACTCATGTATTTCAGAAGCCAGAGTTTTTTGCACAGGAGTCTGTGGCAACCTGAACTCTGCAATGTGCCATTGAGTCTTTTTGGCATTTCAGCTTTTTCCCTTTGGGTGAGGTTCTCTAGCAACAGAATTTGATAGTCAAAAATATCTCTTGGATAGGCTGCTTCTGGTTCTAGTTGGTGTTTTCAGTGTCCATGGCCTCTGTACTTCATACCATGCCAATTATTTGATTTAAAAGAAATGAATAATGGACCAGAAAATGTAGACTTCAGTTTTGTTGACTGCATTTTGGTTTCTACCTGAAGATCTCAGGAATGCTGAGCCAGTGGCTCCAGAGAAGAGCGTGAACAAAAGTGTGAAGCAGCTAACATGAGTGTATACACATACAACACAAATTTCCAATTTTGTTTGAAAAGAAAGCATTAATAAGCATTTTGTCCAAGTATTGAAGCATTCTTATTTGACAGATATGCAAACAACTCAAGTACATAGGGTCTGAATTACTTACCTGTGGACTGTGCTTTTAGGGAAGAGTGCATTCATTCATTTTGTGAAATAAGTTCTACGTTTCAATGTCAATTAAAGCATAACCCTATGCTTCAATGAAATGAGCTAAGGTGGCTTGGATGTAACCAAAAGGCTTTACCTTATCCCTTGTGATGCCATGGGAAGCAGATTGGCTTGGGGAAAATATCCAATTATTTGTATGCCAGAGTTTTAGCAAACAATAGGGAAAATGCGTTTGCTTAGTACATTACATATGCCGTTCAGTTTTTGGACTTGTGTCTAATATTATGTAAGGCAGAGATTGGCAGCTTTTCAGGAGCGAGGTGCCAGATTGTATTTTTCTTTCACAAATTAGAGGTTAAGAGCGCTGGTTGAAAACATTTGAAGGCGCTGTCAGACGGTGTTTGGAAACGACTGGCTGTCAGGCAGGCAAGATGCCACCCAGCAGCTGGCCTGGGACTGCGGTGAGGAACAGGGCTCCCTGTCCCAGCACTGCCAGAGCCAGCAGTGCTCTCGGGACGCCAAGGCTGCCAGTGCTCTGGCCTGTGCCAGCAATGCCAGCGTTGTGTGCCTCTGGAATCTACCCACCTCTTCATTGCCGTGTGTGCCAAGCATTGGGACTGCAGGCCCAGTAGAAGCTCTGTCCCGTGCGTCTAAAATTGTCTGTTGTAATGGCTGGTAGTGTGACGTTTGGCATAAATTTCTTCTGTGAGTTTGGCTTAACGTGACTCTGCAGAGATGTTTTTATACGAGATACTTTGGGGACTGGATGCTAACTGTGAAACCAGAGCTAATCAGTTGACCAGTAATGTCCTCCTTCACATTGCGTTTTGCTAAAATAGGGATGAGTATGAGCAGATTCTTGATACAAGATTCAAAGAAATAATATGAACATATGCAGAAAGATGCTCTGTGTGAAGCGTTGTGAAATATTATAATATCTATATTGGTTTTTCAGGCTGTATTAATTAAGAAGTAATACACAATAGTATAGGATAGTAACCTGTAGGCTTACTTTAGGATCTGACCTTTGACAAAGAGCTCTTTTGTATATTTAATAATCTTTGGGAGTACTAATTATCAGATAACCTGGAGCCAAGTCTGAACAGTGAGCAATACTGTATTTTATTTTTTTTTTCAAACCTAGTGCAAGTGTGTGTGAGTTTGCCTCTTATGTTGTGGTATCATTCATCCAAAGGCACTGGTGTTGCATCTGGTGTAACATGTTTCAAGATTGTGGCTGTCAACGCTTGTATCGCAAAGTGTAGCAGGTTCAGAAAGCAACAGTCTGATTACAGACAGCTGCCTCTTGATTTTAGGACAAGATTTATTGTTAAATCTAAAGCTTTCAAATGTAATTATGGCACGGGACAGTTACTGTGCACATATTCCAAGAGTACCACCTCTGCAGTCTGTCGGCGTAGGGACCATGTTGTCATCTATCCATCGTCATGTGACAGCTAGATGAGTTTTCTCATTTAGAAAATGTAAATGGTTTCTACATAGAAAAACTTATGATGTAAATATCTGAATGATTTCTATTACTCCATATCATATTTCAGTGATTTTTTTGGTCGTTGTATAATAAAAAAACTAGCATAATTTTCTTCCTTAAATGAAAAAAACCAGGGCATATAAATGTGTGACTACTTTGAATTTATTAGTGTATACTAAATAGTCAAAATATTTAACAGTATAATTAATAATACACAGTTTAATGGTATTTCATGTTTTCTTTTCCCAGGAGCTGTGATCATCTCCACTCCGCAAGATGTGGCTTTATTGGATGCACGCAAAGGAGCTGAAATGTTTAGAAAAGTCCATGTACCTGTAAGCCTGTATATTAAAAATATCAGTAGATAGTTTTCCCAAAACATAAAAAAATTATGTATACTGCAATGGGTGAACAAACCATTCAGAAATCGCTTGAACTTCATTAATTCGTATTAAAAAAAAAGGATTAGAATCCATCTTGTATCTGTATTGGGAACTTGCTTTAACAAGAGGGAAAGAATTTTCTCAGGCCAAAGTCATAGTAGTACTTGGTTTCTTTAGAATCAGTTTGTTTAATCACCTGGAATGGATCAGACTGCTATACAGTGTCTCTTACCAAGTAACGTGTGCTTCTTACTATATCCTGGTTATGTGTCCTCTTCAGCACTTGGCTGTGTTGGAGCTTAAAATGGAAAATTTCTTGAAATGTGAAAATCTCATGTATTGGTACATTTTAAGAAGGCAATTCAAGTTTTTGGGGAGACATGCCCCAATTGATACGACCTCATTGCCACTTTGCCTTTTGAATGGCTCTGTGGCTGTCACGCCAAGTAGGAGGCTATCGATAGCACTTTTGTTTTTTCATGAGGTTTATAACTCATATGGTAGCTTGCTTGTTTGGGAAATGCAAAATTTAAAAATATCCACAATATTCATATGGACTGGGAGAAAATATTAAGCAGGGTGACATCTTTGACTTGATATTTTCTATGTGTGCTACAAGTTGCTAAGTAACTGAATGTTATACTCTAGAGTATGTTCATGAACAGATTCATTTTTCATTTGAAACGTGCAGTTTGTAAGAAAATACAAACTGAAATGCTTCCTTATCTTAAGCAGTAAAGAAAAAAAAGCCATTTACTATACTTTAAAAAAATTTGTTTTCTGGCTTACCTGTGTAAAAGTCACTTCTACTTTTTTTTAAGGAAGTCCGTTTCTTTCATAGCTAGTGCTTTGTTAATTTAAAAATGCAACAGAAACCTTGAAGTGACTGCTTTCCCTTTTTGTTTAAATTTACAGAATAGCTTAACAAAAGAAATACATTGATATGTTGCTTATTATTAACTATTCCTTAAGCATATTTGCACCAGAATGAAAGCAGAGTAACACCATTTGCTACTGGAAGAAAAACAAAGATATGTAACAGAAGAATAACATACAGACTGTTTTATTTTTATTTTATATTTGGGTTTGCTAAAACTATGCAAAATTATTTTCTTCAAATAAAATTGTGTTGAAGTTAGTACTTCGCTGAGTTTTCCATTTGATTAAATGAGAAATGACCAACATTTCTTTCTAAGTCTATTTTGTTCAATGTTCTTTGAAGAGAATGACCTGTAAGAAAACCATACATTCTAGGATAGGCTTGGCTGCTATTAATTTGACTAGTGGGAGATAAGATATTAAAGATGAACTATTTTGATTCGTTGGAATTTTCAGATCTTTCTGAAGTGTATGAGAAGTCACAGCAAAGCTGTTGTGCCGGACGCTGAGTTTGAATGCACTTGAACCAGTCATTGGGTCTTACCTTTTCCATGGTGTTGCTTCATTTTATTCTAGCCTTGTAGGTACCTCAGTACAGATGTGTCCTTTACGTCAGTGTTAAAGCACTTCCTGCCTGTGTATGACATTTCTAAGTGTCGACTAAATCTGAGGACCTAAAGAAGGTTGAGTTGCGTAATTTTTGATGGACAACTTCAAACCTGAGGTTTACGTCAAAGAGGTGGAATCTGTGGGACTGTGCTAAAGTTGTGTATCCTGATTATATAATTGACTGATCGTTAAAAATCTCATCTGTAAAACCTTTAATCTTTAAAAAAGTGCTTGCAAAGATTCTGCTTTTCAAAGAAGCGGTGAGTCTATAGGTTGCTGAGCTCTGAGTCTTTGAGTATGCTTGCTTGTGTTTAGTGGAGTCCCTCCCTTGTACATATGGATGTACATACACCACACTCCCCTCACCCCCAGCAGTCATTAGTTCCCAAAGCCTTAAGTGACATATGGAGTATTACCACAGTAATGTCCTGATTGTTCGCATTGTTTGTTTCTCCTTTACTGCGTTGGAGTTAGAGTAGAATGGCTGAAGGAACTGATGGAAGGCTGACAGTGAGAATCAGGGTCAGAACCAGGTTTACAATGCACAAGTCTTGTTTTCAGTCTTAGGACATAGTCATTAGAAGAGGAGTGTCATCTCTTGTGCAGTGGAGCCTACCTGCTATGGAAGGAGTTTGCAAAGTGGTGCTGACTCCTATCACAACAAGTTTCAGGATTCTTGCCCATTATGAGAATTTGGCCATTGTTTTCATGCATCCCAGAGGCTTGCTCTGGGCAGGTGACAAAAAAAGAAGTTAATAACTTCGAGTATTTAGGAAAAAAGTGCCTATTTTCACCTGCTGGAGTTGAGTTCAGTTCAGTATGGTATGTCCTGTCAGACATACCCTTGAAAGAAAATGACAAGGTTTTAGTTAAATCTGCGATTTTTCTGGTAGTTTCCTTGAGTTGGAAGGTTATGTTGTGGATTTCATAGGTTTCAAAAAACTGCATATGTAAACTCAGCTACGTATTTCCTTCTAAGACATACTAAAATAGTTCATTTCACTGTGTACTTACTGGTATTTCTGTAGTGTCCAGAGTACCCAGCCACAATTATAGCTTCACTTTATAGTGAACGTTAGAGCCAGCAATTTCTCGTTATAACGTGAACGGTAGTAAGGCAGCAATATTACTGTGCATGTTTGCTTGAAGCACTGCATTGTCGCTTGACTGGCTGGTGGTCACGTAGGAAGGTGATGGCAGTGTGGAACGGTGACCCTGATCGCTTCAGTCCTCATCAGGTTGGAGTCAGACCTCAGCACCATCCACTCTTACGTACAGGGAACGACTTAAGTCGGTTTCTCGGGAATCATCTCCCTGTGTAAAGACAGAGGGCTTTAATTTTCTCACTGTGTTTTCTCTAACTCAGAAGGTAGTGTGTTTGAATTTCGGCATGATTTGTTGTGTAACCAAAAAGTTAATTGAGCATAAGAAATGTAAACATTCAGAAACTGTGTGTGTGCAGATAATTCATAATGAAAGGTTTCTTCGTTTCCTGTTACTCCTTAATAGATGTCTCTTCACCATTTAAAACAATGATTTGACTAAATGAAATTCCGTTCTGTGCATTATAACTATCCTGTCCTCCACTGCCTTAGGTTGGCTCCTGTACTGCAGCACATCTCATCAAACTAGTTTTCACATTGTTACTGAGCCAAGTTTGCCAAGAAACGTACAGGGAAAGGAGCTCACTAAGGACTAGAATAGGATTCACACATACTTACAGGATAGTTTGTGTAGACAGTAACAGCTGCTTTGAAGCTCTTCTATTATTTGAACAGAGAAATGAGAGCTACTACTGACTTCATTAGCAAGACTTATTACTTTGTGTATTTAAAAGCTCTGAAGATCATAGCGAACTCTTTTCCTTTTATGAATTTATCTGCAGAAATATCCAGGTTAAAAATACACTTAAGCACTAAAGTTGTGTATATGTGCACAGATTCTCTATTAAACTGGGTGTTTATAATTGGCAACTTAATATTAAAAAAAATTCGTCATATTCCAGAAGAATAATTTATATGTTAATAAGTATGCACTACTCATTGGCTGACAGACGGAAACAGCACTGGAAAATTAAAATTATTTTGTAATGCTGAAAGGTCATTTGCTTTTATTAAGATTTGTTGAAATGAAAACAAAAAAGGACAGTGAATAAGACCTCTAAAACTGAGATAGCACTGGGAATACAGATGTATCTCAGCAAACTGTGGCAGAAGGACTTCTTAAACTTATCAAAGTCAAAGAACTAACAAAAGAGCTGTAGTAGTCCTTAGCTATTCACAAAACAATAGTAGACTACGTAACTGTGATGGTGAATTCACTGAATCATAAATGTTGTGCGACTACTTTGAGGAGCACAGAAAGTTCAAACCTCAAGATACTCAAGATGAATGAATTAATTTAAAGTATAAAGTTTTCTTCTTTTGTTCTATGACGCATAAAATGGCTTCTCTGTATCCTAGTTGAAATACTGTTTTTCGTTAGTCGAATACTCCTTCTTCCAGTGTTCTCCTGTTTACCAACACAGTGGAAATTCCATGACTTTAAGGAGAGCAGGGTGAATGCCTGCTCAGAGGTCATCAGTAGAAGACTGGCTGTCGAGAGCCCTTTTTACCATCCCTGCACCTTTTACATGTAGTATTTCATATCTCTCTTAGTTTAAGAACTGGATGAGAAAATTACCTGTATTAATGTGCCAGCAAATAGAAACTTGTTCCTCTTGCTCCTCTGGCAGTGCCCAAGAAAGAGTAGAAAATGGGAAAATGTTGTGGTTTTAAATTGAAAGTAGGTGATCTCTTTTCGTTGTTGTTGTTACTATTTCTTAAAATGTTCCTTGCTTTAAAGCCCTCTGAAAGCTTTACATAAGTAAAGGAAGACTTCTTAGAAAATAGTGTGGAGTACGTTATGGTGGTGTTGAAAAAATACAGGTGATCATCTTTTGATAATTTTTAGCTTAGATATAAGGAATTTTTATGAAGATACTGTAAATAACATGCTTTTTATTTTCAGTTTTGGTGCCAAAAGTTGTACATTCACTCTTAATTAAAGAACTTAATATTTGTTGGTTGTGCCAAACACCGGTATAACCTTTTAGATACGCTTCGTTAGCATAGTGGAAATGTTACTCCTCTAATAACTGGGCCAGCTTGTTCAAGCACAAAACTAGAACGCTCAGGGAAATTTAAAAGTACAAAATGTTACAAAGAAAATAACAGCTTTTTGTACTTCAAAATATATATTCATACTTTTAAAACTTGGCTATGCCACTTGTGGGATATCATATAAATCTTGCAGTGAAATTTTGTAACATGGAGCTTCTTCAAGCAGGTCTTCTGCTGATTAGCAGATGGGTCGGAGCTTTCACCCTATAGTGTTTGGATGCTGTTTTCATCACTGTTGAGAAATCCTGCTCTGCCTCAATGAGCAGTTTTGTTTACTAGGTGAATAAAATGAGATCAGTGCTATCATTAGCATTATTGTACATTGCTCAAGATTTTTGTGTGCGTGATTTGGCAGATTTTCAGCTGACATATTTTGCAGGGATGGTGTTGAACACCCAGCATCAACAGAAATGTACCTATTATGCCTGTATTAGATTTTTATGCCGTAGTTTTTGGCAGTTTGTTGCACATAATTATTTCTTTTGTTTGATCTTTAAAGCGTGTTTCTGCTCTTCAGAAGAATAGCAAATCTGATTCTTTTTGAAAACATTTACCTACAGGATAACTTACAAAAGTATCTTGAAAGCATGTCTGATGTTGTCATTTCTTGTAATGGTATGCTTTTATTTTGTGTTTCCTGAAACTGCAAATTACAAAGCTATAAAACACAACATGGAAATTCTTCCAGTATTCAGAGTTCAAAAATGAAATACTGGCTGGAAGAGTTCTTGGAAAGATGCTTTTCGTTACAAATAAGTTTGTTAATCTTTGAGAGATACAAATGTGAAAAACTTGAAATAGTGCACAAATGAAACTGCAGCTGAGACGACTAATGAGAGTTGTTAATGGCGTTAATGAGTCTGATATTACCTCTACTTCACATTATAAATGAGCCCTCCTCGTTGATTCTTTGTTGATAATCTCTTCTTAATTGTCAGAGATGAATAATGGAAATAGCAATGCCTGGATACCAGCTTTGAACACTCCGTTCTTTTCCTTCAACAGGTTTTAGGACTGGTTCAGAATATGAGTGTTTTCCAATGTCCCAACTGTAAGCACGAGACGCACATTTTTGGAGCCGATGGTGCAAGAGATCTAGCAAAAACCCTTGGATTGGATATTTTAGGTAAGGATATAGAAATGGTTTTATTTTTGAAGAAAAATGCAATAGTGTGCATGAGCATTAACTGAAGTATGGAACTGCATAATCCTCAATTACTCTATATTCAGACAGTGTTCAGATATAATAGAACTAATAACTCAAGTAGTTGAATGTCACGATTTTTGTATGCTCTGTTCCTTACCAGGATCATTCTTGCAAATGGGATGTGGACTGGATGTCTTGAATTGAAAATTCTTGAGTCTCTTTTCATTTATAAAAAATTCAGAACATTAATTGTTGTGATAGCTGTGTGCTGAATTCATTATGTTATTGATCATTCAACACTTTTTACAAAACCAAGAATTCTATTTGGTCTTGTAAAACAGACTTAAACTTTGCCCATTAATGTCAATAGAAGTTTTATCAGTTATTTCATTTAAATGAAATGAGTTGTTACATATTGAAATAAATATGGTAATTTGAAATACAGTCCCTTAGAGCAGTTGTTTTAATGCTCTTGTACGGCAGCAAGCAGACTTTAATTGTATTAAAGCGTTGAGATTAAAAGAATATGCTGAATTGCAAAATGTTGTTTTAAAAGAAAATTTATCTTTATTGAAAACAAAAATTAGCTGTGATTAAACAATCTGGCATGCCTATAAGCTAAAATATACATTGATCTTTAAAATATACACTGCTATTTTAAAAAGATGTATTTCAACCTGTGCCGTCAGTAAAAAAAAATTACAGAATATAACACAGCATAATTAAGTTGGTAAATGGGATAATTGCATGTGCTAATGATGTGTTTCCATGTATTACTATAATTATCTCAATGATTTTCCATAGCTAATTCATTAAAAAGAACCAGGAAGCTCACTTAGAAAGATCAACACAGAAACATCAAGGTCTGACATGAACTTAAGATACCAAGGCAGCAGATAATTAAAGACATGCTTTTGGGCTATCTTCTAGTTTTCTGAATATATAATGAGTTGTGATCAGAGCCCAAGGGGATTTCTGCAGCCCTGGGTTGTGTGGATGGATGCAAATGCTCTGCAACCAGTTAAGTTGCACATGCATTTAGATACACAGGCACCAACGATGTGAGATGGTTTTTGTTATTCCCTAAGAGGGCAGAACCGATTGTGACCATATTTAATTGGGAGCAATGCGAGAGATTTACAGGTTTAGCAGAGGATGGATGAGATGTGTGAAGAAAAACAGAGTTAAGTTTACCTTCAAACTGTCAGTGAAAGACCAGAGTAAGATTAAGAATAATGCCCCATGGGTTAAATTTAGAACTACAGCACTTGATCTGATTACTGTGCTCCTCCTTCCAGGGATGACCATTACATAATAACACCATATGGTGTTATAGGAATTGCTGCTTGCAGATTTTAACGTTTCTCTATCCCAAATGGAAGTTTTATCCCAGTGGTACTTGAATTCTGCCCAAAAGCATTGAGAACTTATTTATATAT